CCCCAAAACCCCAAAACCCCAAAACCCCGTCTGTCAGTTATTAATTGAAAATTTTTGATTAGTAAATTGTAGCATTATATATAATTATGATTTTATCTGAATTTGTTTGTTCTCAAACATATTAAGATTAAAGAGTCATTAGTAAATTATAAATTTTAGGCGATGGGTATAACCTATTTGAATGATTCGTCTCAGAGACCTTATCAAACGTCCTTTAGTAGTTTAATCTATCAAGCAATAATATATTGTTTCCTTAGAGGGACTTAGTATTCAATATTTACCAGTCAGAAATATTCTAACAATTCAAAGAAAATAAATATAAAGTTGATGTTTGTTTGCATGGTCTTTTGCAATAAATTCATTTAAGTTACTGCAAACTCATGCCCCTATACTACTTATCCAATGATCCTTGGGGGTATTAATGATGAGACAGTATTTAAATCATTTGATCTCACTTCAGATGGACTCAATATTGTAGTTGGAGGCTACACAAAGGATAAAGAAATATTGTAACTTTAGTAAAATCAATAGTAGCCTATTATTGGGTATATAATGCAAGGTAACAAATATAAATGGAGCAAAACTATAAACCAAGTAGGAAACTCATTTTAATCAGTCAAGTTCTTTCAAAGTGATAGCCAAATAGTAGCATTAACAGACAATCCATAACTAACACTCTTTAGATTATCATCAATTGACGGTTCTATAATTTATTAATATTCAGAGCTAACAAATTCTGGAAAAGTAACATCTCTTAGTTGAATAGCAGTTAATAGTGAAAATGCTTTCATAGGATTGTAATCCCAATCAAACTTATATCAAATTCTTACCATTTATTTATGGACTACAGCATATATTTCACTCTAGTTAAACTATATTGGTCATCCATTGGCATTTCATACTTATGACTTAGGCAATGCATACGTTGGAGGATATTTGGCTAGCGGTGGTGTACTTGTAGCAAATATTGTAAAAATTGACTTCAATATTGTTCTTAATTAACACTTTTAATTTACTCCAGAGAGTGGCTAGTCTGAGGCTAGGATATATATTATAGATAGACTATAGGATCTCTTAACTAATTGGCTATATTCTAGCTACTCCATTGTAATAAATGGCTTAGAATATTAACGTCTCTCAGTTTTGGAGGTGTCTTTGCTCTCAATTCTTACAAGCATAAAAATATCAATGCCTTTAAACTATGGAAAATGCATCTATCTCAAAGGAGGATCAACCACAACACTTAAGACAATATATACCTTGCAAAATTCATTAGAGCTACATTATCTATCAATAAACTTTGTAAATTATGTTACAATTACCAAAAAAGTAACTGTGTTTTCATAATCTTCATTTGAAATTTATGAAGGTTATTATCACTCAGCATAAGGTCATTTACTGATAGGCTATACAATTAATTTTGGAGGATACACACCTACAGTAGCAGATTAAACATTCACTCATAATATTGGATTTATAATGACTTTTGAGTAAAGTTTTAGAGCTGTTGGTAGCGATAGCAATCTTCTAGCTACTGAACCTACCTTAATATTCAGCTCTCTATCATCACAAATTATATATGTAACATCTTACAATTGGGGATTAAAAGATTTACTACTGCTAAGTTTAACAATATCTGATATTCTTACTCAAAATTCGGTAGAATT